GTGAGTAATCTCGTGAGTGGGTTCTTTAACGTCCCCTGCCTAACCAAATTAACTAACTATAGATGCAGGAGACGGGACCTACGGTTTATTCGTCCTTATCCGAGAAGACTAGAATGTATATCCATTTCTTGATATTATAGAAAGGCAGCGCATTCTCCTCAGTTATTTTAAGACCTTGAGTGTTGGTCCGGCCGGGGCTCGAACCATCGACCTCGACCTTCTGCACAACAGTCCAGCTCTTTAACTAATTGAGCTAACCGGGAGGTTAACTTTGATCTATCAAAATCTTTGTGAAGTCACGATACAATAACATTCAGAGCTCTATTCCTAACAAACTACGAGCTATCTGCCAGTGAAGAACCCAGTATTGCTGCGGTTAATGCTACTGCTTCTATTATTGCTACTGCAGCTGCTACTATTATTATTACCACTACTTCTGCTGGTGCCGCAGTTGCTGCTTGTGCTGCTGCTACTTCTACTTTTACTGCTACTACTCCTGCTATTTCTACTGCTACCACTACCGCTGCTACTATTGCCTCTTCTTCTGCTACTGTTGCTGCTTCTGTTGCTATTACTGCTATTGCTGCTGTCGCGGCTCTGCTTCCGCTGAAGCGAATCCTGTATTTTGATTGGCTACCTGAGCGGGCACTGAAGATGGTCCCATCTCATCCGCTCGTGACTGCCTACTTTGACCTTGCGCAAGGAAAAAATTGCATGGATCAGACTTTTGTACAATGAGAGCGATGAAGGCGCAAAAAGCGGCAGAAGACAGTCAAAACAACAACGAAAAAACTCTTAAGGGTTTATTGTGCTATAGACATAGTTGGCTTTCTTTTCCGTATCTCGAAATAACATATTTAAGTATATATTACATTTCCTTATTTGCCTTTCGGTTGTCGTTTTGTTTTTGTGTTGAATCTTTTGAGTGTTCTTTTAACAGACTTTTTATTGGTCCAAGCCTCGGTGGTACTCTGGCGGAACATTTTGGCTTTGCTTGGGCACTGACGGTGTGTAAATTTATTATCCAACTGTGCTTCGTGGAGTACAAATAACGCTCAAAACCAGTACAAATATCTTATGGTATTTGTACTCCAGATAACCGGTTAGACAGATTTTGTTTCACCGCGCAAACGACGAATTGAATCCGTTCCACTTTGCATAGCGTACTTCTGTCACGCACTCCTCATCAATAAATATCCGCGAAATTCGCCCGCACTGAAATAACTCCTTGTTTGTATTTTGAATCGCCCTATATACGGACTCGTCAAAATATGGCACAACTCGTAAATATACTCAGCGATTCTACACGACATAATATTTAATACGATATATATCCTACCAAATCACTTAGCCTGCTACCGGAGTTAATTTTGGTTAGTTAAATTGACGCACTTAAGCTTTATTAACCTAACCCTATGGAAAAGCACAATGACCTGATACTAAACAACTAAACAAGTGTGTTTGATTGAAATAATTGGCGTTAGAAAAGAACTCTTCGAATGAAGTTCAATCAATATAACAGCGATCTTCTTTTCATAGAATGCGAAAGTAACCATAATTTTCCGTGGCAAACTCAGAATGAAAGATACAATGAAACATTCTTGAACTGCTGGCCATCTCCTAGCAAAAGCCACGCTTCCCAAGCGCCAGAAGACTCACTAATGGTGTGCACAAATGACGCGTTTTCGAAACCCTATTTAACAAATGGTAAACACCACAGCGTACACTATTGAGTTATGGATGCACGTGGGAGATTGCTAAGCAAGAAAGAAGCGCATTGCCGAGAGCGACTCTAGCCTCTTGATTGACCAATCTGAGCGCCCTTTACGTAATTTATGCTATAATTGTTATTGCAGAGGGACTCAAGGCTCGCTCTTTTGCCATTAGGTTCAAATACTTGAATGAGTTTACTCTTTCATTTTGCAGATTGCAGCACTCATGGGCTTTGCTCAAGTAAGTACACTATTTTTGGAGCGGACTTTTAAACACTTATTCGTTAACTGAAGAAAAACTATGAATTATGCCTGTTAGGCCAATTGCCAATTGCGTATAAATGTAGTTCGAATTACCTAGACCGGTAGACTCATTTATTTTTTCCCGCTGGTTTGCTTTAACCGCTTTGCCGCAATTGACGCGGAAGAAATTCCTGATTGTGGTCTGTATTGTAAAAAGCTGTACAATGCTGGACCTGTTACGATCGCGCGATCAGCATATTAGATTAGAGGGGTTTGAGATATCGGCCTGCTGAGAAGCTACAGAAAAAAGAAATATCTTTACGTACTACAAGGTCAAACAGGAACTAATCTAAGTCAACAGAATGATTATTTTTTTGATGTCTTTAGGCACTAATTTTACTTATCTTCACATTGGTGGAAAATGTGTCTCGAGGGTAAGTAAACGTTTGGAGCGCGAAATCCTGAATCATTTTTAGAAACAGTTTTTGTTAATCTGCAGAACAATAACTTCACAAGGTTTATAGATAATTCTTTACCGAAGGGTACGCAATGAATAGCGTATCTAATAAGCACATGGGTCAGATCATTTCAAAGTGCCCCAACCACGAATGAAAGAAATCTTTAATGCCATTTAATACCAAGGAATTTTACCACAATCTATCTACCGCGTTTCCATGTTCTCTCTTCATCCCTCCCCCTCCCCAAAAGGTCTAATATTCACACTATCTATTCCATGTTCTCTCTTCATCCCTCCCCAAAAGGTCTAATATTCACACTATCTATTCCATGTTCTCTCTTCAT